GTAGATAATAACACCTATCTGTAAAGATATGGATTAAATCAATGGAAGTGCCTGACGCAGGAGAGGTGGTATGTTTCTAACATTATCTTGGCATACATTTGTTTGTATAATTTTCTTATCCACTAAAAAGTACTGTTTTGATACCTATTTGTACACAGTACAACTTATCTACCTTTTAAAGGGACAGTTTTATTTATTTTTTAAACTAACTTTTATTGGAGTGTAGTTGCTTTAAAATGTTTTGTTAGTTTCTACTGTACAGCAAAGTGAATTAGCTACAGGTACACATTTATCCACACTTTTTTGGATTTCCTTCCCTTTAGGTCACCATAGAACCCTGAGTAGAATTATTACCTGAGCTATACAGTAGGTTCTTATTAGTTATCTATCTTGTATTGTTGCTGTTCTTCAGTGGCTAAGTCGTATCTGACTCTTTATGACCTCATAGACTAGCCTGCCAGGCTCCCACTGTCCATGGGATTTCCTAGGCAAGAATACTGGAGTGGTTGCCATTTCCTTCTCTGGGATCTTCCTGATCCAGGGATCTAACCTGCATCTACTGCATTGGCAGGCAGATTCTTTACCACTGAGCCATAGTATCAATAGTGTATATACGTCACTCTTAAAGGGAGAGTTCTAGAAGTCTGTTGGCATGTTATGTATTCTTAGGATATTTCAAAGTTGGTGTTTTTTTTTCCCCAAAAATGTTACATTCAACTTCGTAAAAACATAAGGCCATTCTGAAAATCAGTTACATCTCATGTCACGTTCAATGTTTTAAAGTAACAATTGGAGGAAAAAATATTAACTATTAATACACAAACCCATTCTCCCACAAAATTTGGGTTTTATGCTAAACATATCAATATTGTAAATGTTACACTTTAAAATATTTCTTATTTAGGACACTTTAAAATCAACTATAAGTAATAATTTATATACATAAAATACATCTGCTTTATGTGTTTGCTGTGATGAGTTTTACCAAATATATACACCTGTGTAAAACCACAGTCAACAAACAGAGCACTTACATTGCTCCAGAAGGATTCCTGTGTCTATTCTGTCTCTTTTCTTTGTACACATCCCCAGCACCAGGCAACAACTTTCCTGTTTCTTGTCACTGTAGACTTTTAGATTTAGATTTTCTTTTTCTAGTTTCATATAAATGTAATTACCTACTATGCAGTCTTTCCATCTGATTTTGCTCAGTGTAGAGTTTATGAGATTCATTCATGTTGCATGTACAGTAGTTTGTTCCTTTTCATTGCTGAGTTATAGTCCGTTGTGTGAACATACTTTCAGTTTGAGGTTACTATGAACAAAGCTGCTATGAACATTGGTGTCCAAGTCTTTGTACAGACCTATTTTCATTCTCTTGGTTAAATACCTAGGAATGAAATTGCTGGGTCATATGGTCAGTGTATGTTGACCTTTTAAAGAAATTGCCAATTTGTTTTCCAAAGTAGTATTCTCTTTAGCCATAAATGAGAATTTCAATTGCTCTGCATCCTTGACAACCTTTAAAAATACTAGATGTAGTGATGTCTCATTGTAGGTTTAATTTGCATTTCCCAAATGACAAAAAAGATTGAACATTTTTGCTTGTGCTATTATTTCCATATGTTCTTTGTGATGTGTCTATTCAAATATTTTGCTAATTTAAAAAAGTGTTATTGTATTCTTGAGTTATAAGGATTCTTAATATATTCTGGATACACGTTCCTTGTCAGATACATATATTGTGAATATTTTCACTTTTTTATGGTATCTTTGGGATAAGAGAAGTTTTACATTTTGATGAAGTTCAATCATATTTCTTATGATTAATGCTGTTTTTTTATTTATTTTTTTTGGTTGTTGTATCTAAGAAATCTTTGCCTTCCCCAAGGTCACAAAGATTCTGCTGTTTCCTTCTAGAAGTTTAGAGATTTACCTCTTATGTTTAGGTCTATGACCCACATCAAATTAATATTTGTCTAAAATGTAAGGTAAGGGTCAAGCATTTCCTTTTTTTTTTAAATGTGGTATCTAGTTGTTTCAACACTGTTTGTTAAAAAGAATTAGCTTTGCATCTTTGTTGAAAACCAGTTGACTATATGTATGGGGTCTGGACTTTATTCATTGATCTATATATCTAACCTTGTGCCTATCACACTGTCCTGGAAACTAGTTTTACACTAAGTTTTGAAAAGAGGTATGCGCATGTTCCAACTTTGTTTTTCCTACACATTTATGTATAAATTTTAGAGTTATTTTGTCAAATTAAAGAAATATTCTGCTGGAATCTGCAAAGAACTGACAGTTTAACAATCTGAGTTCCAATTCATGAAGCTGTAATACTTATTTATTAGGTCTTTACTTTCTCTTAATTGTGATTTATCATGTTCAGGGTACAGGTCTTGCACGTGTCTTGTTGAATTTATCACTCTGTATTTCATGGTTTTGGATGCTGATAAGTATTATACAGTTTTACTCTAAATTTCAATTTACTGATTTTTGTATCATTGACCTTGTAACCTACAACTAGTTCCAATAGTTTTTTTGGGTGTGGATTCCTTAGGTTTTTCTAATAATACAATGTTGAATAGTTTTACTTAATTCTTTTCCAATGTAAATACCTTTAAAAACACTAGTTCATTCATTTCAGTTCAGTCGCTCAGTCGTGTCCGTCTTTGCAACTCCATGAACTGCAGTACGCCAGGCCTCCCTGTCCATCACCAACTCCTGGAGTCCACCCAAATCCATGTCCATTGAGTCGGTGATACCATCCAACTATCTCATCCTCTGTCGTCCCCTTCTCCTGCCCTCAATCTTTCCCAGCATCAGGGTCTTTTCAAGTGAGTCAGCTCTTTGCATCAGGTGGCTGAAGTATTGGAGTTTCAGCTTCAACATCAGTCCTTCCAGTGAACACCCAGGACTGATCTCCTTTAGGAAGGACTGGTTGGATCTCCTTGCAGTCCAAGGGGCTCTCAAGAGTCTTCTCCAACACCACAGTTTAAAAGCATCTTTGGCACTCAGCTTTCTTTATAGTCCAACTCTCACATCCATACATGACTACTGGAAAAACCATACCCTTGACTAGACAGACCTTTGTTGACAAAGTAATGTCTCTGCTTTTTAATATGCTGTCTAGGTTCGTCATAGCTTTCCTTCCAAGGAGTAAGCATCTTTTAATTTCATGGCTGCAATCACCATCTGCAGTGATTTTTGGAGCCCCCAAAAATAAAGTCAGCCACTATTTCCACTGTTTCCCCATCTATTTGCCACGAAGTGATGGGACCGGATGCCATGATCTTTGTTTTCTGACTGTTGAGGTTTAAGTCAACTTTTTCACTCTCCTCTTTCACTTTCATCAAGAGACTCTTTAGTTCTTCACTTTCTGCCATAAGGGTGGTGTCATCTGCATATCTGAAGTTATTGATATTTCTCCCAGCAATCTTGATTCCAGCATGTGCTTCTTCCAGCCCAGGGTTTCTCATGATGTACTCTGCACACTAGTTCATAGTTTTCATCAAACTTGGACAATTTTCAGCCGATATTTCTTCCCCAGGCACACCTCAGACTCCCCCTCCCCTGTTGCAAAGTCTTCCTCAATTATGTCTAAGTTCCCTCTATCAGGCCACTTGGGCGGCCAGAACCCAGAGCAAAGCTCAGCAAGGAACAGGTCTCTCTGGCTCCTCCCCTCCCTGAGGTCTGGCTCACGTTCCAGGTAGCTGGAGAGCGTGCTCAGTCCGTCCTGTTGGACTCTTGCGACCCCATGGACTATAGCCCACCAGGTGCCTCTGTCCATGGGGTTTTCCTGGGGAGAATTCTGGAATCAGTTGTCATGTCCTTCTCCAGGGGATTTTCCCACCCAGGAATTGAACCCAGGCCTCCTGCGTCTACTGCATTGCAGGCAGATTCTTTACCACTGAGCCAACAGGGAAGCCAAGAATGACCTAACAAGCAGATCGGTTTCCTTGGCGCGTGCAGCATTTTTTTCATTGGATGAACCGAACCGGGAGTTGTCCCAACAGTGATAACACTGATTTTGGGTGACTCAAACTGTCAGGGCTGTGAGTGGTTTACATGAACGATTTCACTTAAATCTCACAACAACCCCACGAGGTAGGTTTTAAATTTATTCTCGCTGAGGAAATTGAGGTATGAAGAGATTTTAGTTGCCCAAGTTCACACAGCGACTAAGACTGGTGGAGCCAGGAATTTGGAGGTTGAATTTCAGTAATCTGACTCCAGAGCCTGTCTTCTTAACTGTGTGCTTTAGGAGGAAAGAGGAAGAGCTGTCAGGAGCATGTGTATCTGGAGGAAGTGGTTTTTGTTTGTGTGTGTGTTTTTAGGGAGAGAGTGGAAAACAGTGGGATACCATGTTTCCTGCGGGAAGGGTTCTTGTTAGCTTTACAGCTATAGATTGCCTCTGTTCAGACTTTTCTCCTTTGATATCTTCTCACGTCCTGTTTCCCCCTGACATCATGTGTTCCGCGCTGCACTGCAATCAGGGCCCTTAAATCACTGGCTCCAGTGGAATCCACGCAGGAGTGGCGATCCGACTGCACCTCCCGCCCCTGAATACCTGCTCCACTGGCTGTGAAAAGCGAAACAGGGTGAAGTGGTTGCTCCTTCCCCAGAATCTCTTAAGAATGAGTCTTTGGAGGGAAGATACCTAGGCCCCTCTCCACATCCAGAAATTTATCTTACAAAAGTCTTGGGCGGGGTAGGGCTACTCCAAGTCCAGGTGTGTTTAGACTCCGTGCACTAGCAAGACTTCCCCGGCGTTTCCAAGAGGAGGTTCCCCAGTCCGCGAGGTTTCCCCGATAGGGGGGCGAGAGATCGCAACCAGTGGTTCCCAGGACCCCCGCGTCCCCGCTCCCAGGCCAGGCGGCCAGGCTCTCGCGCGGCGCGCGCTCCCGAAGGCCGGGGGCGGGGCGGCGGCCGGGGGCGCCCGCTCCTCCCACCGCGGGCGGCCGGTCTGGCGGCGCCGAGCCCCCTGCGCGCGGCACATGGGGCGCCTGACGGAGGCGGTGGCAGCGGGCGGCGGCGCTTCAGAGGCGCGCTCGGCCGGGTCCCCTCCCGCTCCCCTGCCCCTCTCGTCCACGTCCCCCGGCTGCGCGGCCGCCATGGCGTCCAGCGAGGAGGACGGCACCAACGGCGGCGCCTCGGAGGCGAGCGAGGAGAGGGAGGCGGTGGGCAAGCGGAGGCGCCTGGGCTTGTTGGCCACGGTCTGGCTCACCTTCTACAACATCGCCATGACCGCGGGGTACGTGCGCCCAGAGGGGGCCCTCCCCGCGCCGCCGCGCCCCCGACTCTGCGCGCCCTGGTCGCTGGCGGAGCGCTCCCGGCCCCCAGAGGGGCGGCGAGGGGCCGGGTGCGCGTGCGCGCGGGTAGCTGGGTGGTCGCGGCGCGGGGGTGCGTGCGGCGCAGGAAGGGGGCGCGGGCGGCGGTCGGGGGGGGAGGGGCGCTGCGCCTCGGGGCTTGAATGGAGCGGGGCGGGGGGGCCGGGCGGTGCTCTCCCGGCATTGCCTAATACGGTGCACGGCGCGCGCGGCGGCCGCGGGGCGCGGGCCGGAGGTTAAGTATAGACCTGGGCAGGAATGCGGGGCCGACCCGCGGGGGAGGCGGCCCCCGCCCGCCCCCTCCGCCCCGGGCGCCACCGCTGCCGCTGCTGCTGAAGAAGCGCCGAGGTCCCGCCGCCCCCGAGCCCGGAGCTGTCCAGGGGGTGACTCCAACCCGCTTTCCCGGTCGCCGGCCCCTGGACTGCACAACCTCGTGCTCCGGATCGCTGGGCAGAGTTTGCTAACCGTTCCTGTCTCTGCGATTTTTTTTAAGTAATAGTGCGCCGGGGAGCTTCTTACCTGGGACGATTTTCTAAATACCCTGCGAGATCGGAGCGTGGCATTCGTGTCCAGGATCTTGTGGGTCCGTGACTGATACGCTTTAACTTTTATTTCTGATTTTGAATGCGATTTACAAGTTAAGGTTACACAATGACTATTATAGTTCTGCAAAGAGCGGCCGCAGTGACTTTTAAAAACCTGCTGGGAAATGCTCTTCCGTTTCTAAATGGCATTGCCTTAAAAAAAAAAAAAGGCTGTTTTCCCTTATCCCACGAAGTATTACTAACCTCTGGAAATGTGGGGGGAAAGCTTAATATCGAAAACTTTCTCTAGGGCGTACAGAAAACTGTGATTGACCGAGATTTAATAAATGACTTGAGACGGTGCTGAGTACTTTTGTGCTTAATGCCTAACGAGGACTCACTGTGGGGCAGGCACTGTGTCGGTCCATCTCGGTGTAATCTGTCATCATCGGTCCTCTACGTCCTGTGAGGGGCGCACGATGTTACATTTGATAGAATGGGAAACTGAGGCACAAATCGATTAAGTAACTTGCTGAAGTTCACACAACCAGTAAGCGTCAGACTTAGACTTCAGCCCAGACAGTTTGACTCCGGAGCCCTGCTACTTCTGCTTCCCACTCTAAGTTTTCTGATCTTGAAAAAGAAAACTAATTGATTCACAAGCCACTGGAGAACAGTTGGGTACCCACTGTGTGCTACAGCCTGCAAAAAGTCGTCTCTTCTTGCTAGTCTCATCCAGTTAATAAACACTGGGGAAGCCTGCCATCTATTAACTTGTCTGCAGCCCCTTTCTTTTCCAGGCCACTTTCCCTTTTGAAGGCGGAGTTACCTTTTAAAAAAATGAAGATCAATGCATAACTCCAGTTTAAAGCCTTCAGTGACTCTGCATTACCGCCTCTGTAATGGAAGGGATTTAGGCTGTCATTCAAGGCAATATCTGCCTGATTACTCTTCCCAGTTTATTGCTTTTGGTATCTCCTCTCGCTCAACTGTGCCCTCAAAGCAGCGTGCAATTTTATTTTCATGGCTCTTTCCATCTTTGCTCAGGCTTGTTCATCCTGTGGATAATATTCCCTGTGTTCCTGCCATGACTTTGAACCACCGTCACCTCTTTGAAGTTTTCTGGGTGTCTTACCCCACCTGGAGCAGAATTAAATGTTCTCTCCGGTGTGTTCTCAAACTTAATTCCTGACCTTCCTACCTGGCTCAGCAAAATCACTGCTTCCCCGGAAACTTGTCTGTCTCCCAGTTGTTCAAAGGCAAGGGGAGCAGAAATGGAATAATCCATAAAACTAACTCTTTGGAAGCTTTCTCGAGGCATTGAGATTTGAAGAAAGAGTAGGATTTGCATATGTAAAGGGTGGATATTTCAAGTGAGATGAGTTCTGAAAATAGGCTTGAGATGCAGTGAAGCTTCCTGATTTAATTGAAGGGACATAGGGGCGGGGGAGCCTGGTGGGCTGATGTCTATGGGGTCACACAGAGTCAGACATGACTGAAGTGACTTAGCAGTAGCAGCAGTGCAGACATTGTGCAGATGAGGTTGGCAAAGCTGTGATATTCAAAGTGGGACACACACGTGTACATTGATTGGTTTGGAGGTTTTTTTTTTTGTCTGCTTTTTTTCCTCCAGCTTTATTGAGTTGTAACTGACACCTAACACTGGGAGTTTAAGGTGTACAATATGATTGCTTGATGTATTACTTGGTATATGTACATATTACAAAATGATTTTCATCATAAGATTAGTTAGCACATTTGTCACCTCACATAGTTGCCATATTTATTTTGGGATGGAGAACATTTAAGATTTAGGATCCTAGCAACTGAATTTTTTAAAATTGAAGTTTAGTTGATTTACAGTGTTGTGCCAGTCTCTGCTGTATATGTTTTGTAGCATAGTGACTTATATAGACATTCTATTTTTATATATTCTTTTTCATTATGATTTATCATAGGATATTGAATATAGTTCTCTGTGGTATACAGTAGGACCTTGTTTATTTAGTCTATGTGTAATAGCTTACATCTGCTAATGCAGAGGTTCTTTTTGTTTATTTGCTTGGTCTTTTCACATTTAGCACAACTTTGGAAGATTTATTGATTTTTTTGGTAGTAGTTTTGAAATCAAACAATATCTGAGAAATGAAATTTTTACATAAGTGTAAAAAAGAAATTGCCTAATTCTATAAGCTCAGCATGACTTTTCATTTTTCCTTGTAATATCTCATGAGAATAAGTTTGTTCAGATTTTTACTCCAATTACCATACTCAGGCAGGCCTTCCCTGGCTGTCTTCATTTAAGTAGCAGCTGCTTACAAATCACTCCTTATCCCCTTTGCCTGCTTTATTTTTCTCCATCATGCTTGTTACCATATAACTGTACGATGAATTTTACCAAATCGTCTTGTTGCTTATTGGTCTGCTTCTCAGACCCTATACAATGTTAGCCCTGTGAAACTCTCAAGAAATACTGGATTGGCCAAAAATCTCATTTGAGTTTCTCCAGAACATCTTACAGAAAAACCCAAAGGAACCTTTTGGCCAACCCAGTATTTGTCGAGTATATGAATGTACTGATATTACAGAGTTTTGTAGTTACAATATCTACTCTGTTGGATATTCAGTTTTCATGCTGTATTTCACCAAATATTTCCATGTAGTTTTCAAAATTACACTCTTTCATGGTTATATAAAAGTGAATAGAGTTAAGTTACAGTAATAGTCCAAATCATGTCTCTAATGATACTATCCTTTAATTTGTTTCTCTTGAATTACTTGTTTAGGATGAATTCCCAGAGTAGAACTACAGGATGTAATTAATTTAGTTAAGTAATAATGTGATTTAAAGGATGTGAGGATTTTTATGGTACTTGTTCACAATAGATACTTGAATAGGAGCACTTTCTCTCTCTTCTTTTTTGTTTTGCCACAAACACTTTTGAAGCCTGCATGTATTTGTGAATTGTCTTAGGTCAAGTGAGAGACAAAAGCTAAATATTTTAGGCCCTGTGCTTGGAGAAGTGTTACCAGGGACATTTATAGATTGCAGTAAAAGGATGAAATAAGTGTTCCACAGAGGTGTCATGTCTGTAGGTAGGGAGAATCAGAGAAAGGTGTCTGTGTGTGTGTGTGTGTATGTAACCATTGCATTCTAACTGAACTTTGAAGGATGAGCAGTATTTACTTGGCGGGGTTGAGGAAGCAGCAGGAGTTAGGGTACAGAGATGTGACACCACTAGACATGCTGTTGGGGTGAAAACAAGTGGGTCTGAAGCACAGGCTAGGAAAGAAAGATGGACGGGTAGCCTGCCCCTTTGCGCAGGCCTGACATGCTTTGCTAACATGTTTGGATTCTAACCTGTAAGCAGTACGGAAGGTGATAATTGAAGGTTATGTTTTCACCCCTTTTTAGCCGGGTAACCTCAGATAAGTTCCATAACCTCTCTGACCCTGGGTTTTCTCATCTGTCAAAGGAACAACACAACTACTTTGCTAGATTACTACAAGGAATTAAGTGGATATGAAGTGGTTGACAGAGCTGCCTGACACATAGTGGGTGTTTAGAAATGATAATTCCTATTCCTGGTGGTGAATTGTAAAGTGGACTTTGTGCAGAAACTGAGATATTCTCCCTGTGTACATGGTGTATGTTAGCAGAGCACCAGACCCAAGTTTCAGGCATGTACATTTTTCAACATGTTAAGTAATAGAATATATTTTATTCCTGGGGAGGATGAATCCATGTGTGGATCTGTGACAGCTTTTTTTTTTTAATTGGAGTATAGTTGCTTTACAGTGTTGTACAACAAAATAAATCGGCTATGTGTATACACATATCCCCTCTCTCTTGAACCTCCCTCTCACCCCCCATCACCCCACCCCGCTGCATACCACCCCTCTAGGTGAGCACAGAGCACAGAGCCAGGCTCCCTGTTATACTGCAGCTTCCCACTAGCTAGCTGTTTTATACATGGTAATGCATATATGTCAATCCTTCTCTCCCAGTTCATCCCCCACCCACTGTGCCCACACGTCCACCCTCTCATGTCTGTGGCTCTGTTCCTGCCCTGCAGATAGGTTCATCTGTACCATTTTCCTAGATTCCACATCTATGCATTGATATTGTTTGTTTTTCTCTTTCTGACTTACTTCACTCTGTATGACAGACTCTATGTCCATCCACATTGCTAGAAATGACCCGATTTCATTCCTTTGTTATGGCTCAGTACTATTCCATTGTATGTATGTTCCACATTTTGTTTATCCATCCATCTGTCAAAGAACATTTAGATTGCTTCCATGTCCCAGCTATTGTAAATAGTGCTTTTTATCCATTCAAAACACTCAGTGTCTTCAACAGATAAAGTTTTTGAGAAAGAGAAGGGAGGAGAGATGAA